GCATTTCTGTCAAGTGGAATATAGCGGCTATAAGTTAGAGGTCATCAGTAACTTTACATAATAATACTAGACCTAGTGGCTCACTCCACTGAAAAAAGGAATTTTACTGTTTAATGAAAATTCTTCTAAAACAAATAGAATTTTTAATACTAGCCAATGACCCACTTATTTAAAATGATTTATTATACAATAAAATGAAATATAGTAAGATGTATTTACACAAGTAAAAACACTGGCAGAACAGTTTATATGATCTCAATTCAATTTAACAAATACCTTTTTTAGAGTGTACACTATGCTGAGCACTAAGGATACAGAAACAAAATCCCTCCAGTTAAGAAGCTTCAACTACTGTGGAGAATCAGTCAAGCATATATTCCATCACCCCTTAGAACTACATATCAGGGCCAGAGCAATAGGACAGTGTGTAGGACCCTTGCCTTGCACACAGCTCACTCAGGTTTAATCGCTGGCATCCCATATGGTCCTCCGAGCACCACCAGGAGTAATTCCTGAGTGTAAGTCTAGAAGTGACCCCTGGGTATCACCATGCATGGTCCCCAAACAACAACAACAACAACAACAAGAATAATATGTCACTCCCAAGGAAATATAGAGGATGGTCACCAGAGACAAATATGGGGGTCAGGGTTGTATATCTGAAGACAACATGCTTAAATTTAATCTTGAAAATATACGAGATAATTATGGGCAGAAGATTTAATGATACAACATCACAAAAATAAGATACCCACTCCCCCAAAAAAACCCACAAATAAGCATATGAGTAGATGGTCAAATTAATCAAACTTGAAGAACATGCAAATTTATAGACAAGAAAAGAACGATAAGAAAAACTTGGTTTTGTGGCCACAGAAAGAAAACATACAAGTCATGGCAGATTATGTTGATTTATAATGTCATGGCACACTAGAGCCACAGTAGATCATTTTCCCCAATCGTTGTGGCCAACCTTTGAATATAAAATGCATAGCTATAAGAAAATATGAGCAAAAAGAAAAGAGGCCATCCTGCGGGCCTGTAAAGTAGTAATCATATACAGCCCAGCTGAGGGAACACTCACAGCAGGAAAAAGCAACCCAGCAAGAACAGAATGAATAGGTAAGGTGGCAGGGAGCTACAGAATCCAAGCTCTGCAAGAGTCCCACTGAGGAGCTTGAACTTCACAAACAACCTGGCTCTTACCGGCCTCAGGCCGAGGGAAACCGTCCCCTCATACTTCCTGGGCAGCCAACTGTGCTGAGAACATCCAGAGGACATAAAAGAAAAGAAAAGCTTAGGAAAGATTACAGCTGCCTGACCTTTCACTGTGCATGACCCACACATAGGTCCTTCCAGAGGAGACTTCCTCCATGTTCATGCTCCGGGTGTCTGTCCATAAGCTCAGACCAACCACCAATCACGAAACTAGGCATAAATGTCACATTGAGAGAAAGAAGTCAAATTCAAAGAGCACATCTTTTTTGGGCAAGAACTGTGCATGATTAATTAAGGAGTCTGAACTATGCTTGTAACAATAGAGAATCAGTAAAGGATTTTAGAATTATGTTTATAAGATCATTTTGCCAGGGTAAAGGGTAGATGGACAGAGGGCAAAATTAGAGACAGGGAGAGAAATAAAGAACTGAACAAAGATAATAGCAATGAAAAATGAGGGTAGACTCCGCAGAGGTGAACAAATTTGAGAGAATGGGGAGTTAGGGACTAAGGAATTGGTCCATACACTATGGTGCTCAGGGCACACTCCTGGCTGGCTCAGGGATCAATACTGATTGCATAAAACACACCTAAAAAACTATATTTCAAGTGAACACCTCTTAAACTCCTTCATAAAAGGGAAGACAGTGTTGTAAATACATTAATTCCATTCCAATTTTATAAATCCAAATGAGCATCCTTAAGATTCTAATTAGCAAATGAACACTAGCTATGTAATGAAAGTACCTAAAAACAAAAGCCTACATAATAAAAGGGGAATTCATCAAAGCATCCACTATTAAAAAATAAACACTATAATATTAATGTGCTAAGACTTTTAAAAATTAATCAGTAGGGGCATTTGCCTTGGACACGGCAGACCCATGTTCACTTCTCCTGAGTCCCAAGTAGACCCTGAAATCCATCAGGAGTAATTGCTAAGTAGAGTCAGGACTAATCCCTGAGTAAGGCAAGGTGTGGCCCAAAGAAGGTGACACACCCAGCAATCCTAAAGGGACTACCGCTGACTCAGTGTTCAAGGTCACTTCTGGTGGAGTTCAAGGGAGTACTAGAGACAGAGTCTAGGGCCTTCTGCATGCAAAACACGCTCCAACCTTTTGAGTCCTCTCTCCAGCCCTTGAACTTTTTCAATGACTTTTTTTCTCTACTTTTGTATATATTCATTATGACAATAATGCTGTCTTGTTGAAGGCCATTTTCAAAGCTTTGAGAATAAGGAATATACGCATATAAGCATATAATTTTATGAATAAAATTTCTAATTCAAGCATAAAATTAATTCATGACAGAGCTAGAGAGATAGTACAGTGGGTAAGATACTTGCCTTGCATGCTGGAGGCCAGGGTTCAAACCTCAGTACCCCATTTGATACCCCAAGCTCACCAGGAGTGATTCCTGAGCACCACTGGGTGTGCCCCCTCAAAAAAAATTAACTCATAACAGATCAGAGCTGGAGTGACAGTACATTGGGAGGGCGTTATTCTTGCACGTGGCCGACCCAGGTTCAATTCCTCTGTTTCTCTTGGAGAGCCTGGCAAGCTACCGAGAGTATCCCACCCAAAAGGCAGAGCCTGGCAAGCTACCTGTGATACATTCGATATGCCAAAAACAGTAACAAGTCTCACAATGGAGACATTACTGGTGCCAGCTCGAGCAAATTGATGAACAACAGGAGGACATTGATACAGTGATACAACAGATCAGAGAAGATGGGTAAATAATTGATTCCCCAGTCTGCAAGATTTGACTATAACCCAATCACAACCAAAAGGACATTGGTCACTGAAACTTTGAAAAGAAAAAAATCCTATCTTTGAAGTAAGATACACTTGCAGTGCTCATCACATTGTTCAAACCTGTTTACCCTACACATTATTACAACTTGGAGTCAAAGGCAAGACTACCCTTACTACAGAGCAAGATATATGATGCCACTGTTACATTATGCCATTATACACTAACACATAATAATTTATACTTATTCTGCACTCACAACTTTGTGATTTGCCCATCTATAAAACTAATGAGTCATCACGCTCATAGGAGCATTCCAGTTCATTTGATAATTCTATTTATTATATATTAATGAACTGAATTCTTATATATACATACATATGTACTTATGTATATATAAACACACACATATCCCTTTTCATTGCTTAATGTAGAGCTCCTTTTTGAGAAACAACTCCATCCCATTACCCTGAACCTCAGGGTCATAATCCAGGTTTGACAAATTCATCAATGTAAAGAAAACTCCCAAAAAGCCTTTTCAAAATATAGCCTGACAGCCTACCCAGTAACCTCAAATGTTACCATTAGCCAAGAGGGTGATTTAATTGTTAAATATATACAATTACTATCATTAAACTTAGTTTTTTTAAATTTTATTGAATCACCCTGAGATAGTTACATCATTAAACTAAATTTTAATTTATAAAGTATTAAAGCTTTCTTTTCTCAAATACTCTTGATAATCTTTTAAAATGATGTCCTGACACCTAATTCACAGTGATACAACCTTTTCTTGAAATGATTGCTTGATATTTGCATATACTTAAGTAACAAATCATAACACACAATAAATTATGAATGAAAAATTTAGCGTAACTGACAATGATTCAATGTTTATTGCAAAAACACAGCATGCTGCTTTTAGTGCATTTTTCTCTTAATCTCCAAAGATAAACTAAAAAACAAATCTACTTTAGTCTAATCAGGAGACTGCATGAATTCAATATATTTCATCTTTATCTAGTGACATTTGGGATCAGAAATTATATTTTATTAACTCACAGCAGATGATTAAAACAAGTACAGTAGTATGCTAAAGCTAATAGTAACATGTTCATAACTTCCCTTAAAAGGGAATACCAATTAGACAAATACAATTTTATTTATATTTTATAAATAAATAAAATGTAATTTTATTTTACAAAATAAACTGAAGGTTAAGCAAAAGTATTTTAAACCAGCAAATGTATTCATGTGTTAACTCTCATGAATGTGACTTTTCATGTAAGAAAGTATCTATTCGTTTATTTAATCATGTAAAGACTCCAGGCACCTGTGTACAAATAAACTGAATTTTTTTATGCAGACATGTCATCTTTCTGCTGATAAACAATACAAAAAGTCAAATATAAAACTGCACATACTGGAAAATGTAGCCTTCTTGAGTCTGTAAAGGAAGCAGAGGTTCAGGTCCCAGGTCCCAAGTACACCTGCCTTAAGAGGTGCTCAGACAATCTCCTGGCTCTGAAGCAAGACAAAGACCACCATGGATTGAAATTCAACCAATCACACAAGACAAGTTTCCACCAGTGAGTGAAAATGCACTGAATGAACTCTTATCTGCATCAGACAGACATAAATGAGAAACAATCCCACAGTTCCTCAAAAACACCCTCCTTGTAGGTCGGAGAGATAGTGGGGCGGGTAGGGCATTTGCCTTTCACGTAGCCAACCCGGGTTCGCAATCCTCAGCACCCAATATGGTCCTCTGTGCCCCGCCAGGAGTGATCCCCTAAGCACAGAATCAGGAGTAAGCCCTGAATACCACCAGGTGTCAGCCAAAAATAAAAACAGCAACACAAAAAAACCTACCCTTCCTGCTTCTTCTGAAAGTATGAATAAACATCCGCTGGATGCACGTGCTTGCAGAGTGGTTGCCGAATGAATAAAACTCTAGGTAACTGAAACTCTAGACTTCATTTTCAATTACAAAACACCTTTTGCTTTTTTGTTTTTTTTTTCCCCCCAGGGGGACAGCACAAATGCAGTCCCGCACTGCTACAAATTCTGCAGTCGAGTTTCCCACATTTGGGATTTAAAATTGCAAGAGTCAGCATATCTGGAGTGTAATGGATAAGTCTCACCCTGGGAAAACCACCTTAGTGACCATGGTATCTCCCCTGCCAAGGAAGTATTCAAAACACCTTTGAAATGTCTAAATATCACAAAAGTAGGCAGATAAGTGCTTTTAAAATATAAATTATAGGGGCCGGCAGGTCAATCTGTACCTGCGAGGTGAGTGCATCAGCAGCCTGATGGCACCTTCAGACTTCCAGATACTCCAAAATTGCTGCTGTGCCTTTGGACAGACCCCAAAAATTTGGGGCAAAATTTACCAAGAAAGTAAATGGCCAAAAGTTAGGTATGTGGGAGACACACCCACAAACCACCTCAGGCTCAGCTATATAATTGGAGGCATGGCCTCTCTGGTTCCTGATTGAACTGCTTAATGGCCATGACCCCAGAGACTCAGAAACAAATCTCGAAATCCAGTGGCTTTTGGCAGAAATGTGTCCGGTCCCTGCAGTAGGTTACCGGTGCTGGGCCAATCCAGGTGGGAATAGGTTTCGTGCCTTGGCCTGTTCCCCCTGGCGGCCCAGTGACCGCCATCCTCCAGAGGCCACTGGACAGTCAGGTTTGGGCCCTCAGTGACGAGATACGCAAGGCCTCACAGGATAGGGTGAAGCCGGTCCTGTCCTCCCCACCCCAACGAGACCCCAAGTCATCGCTCACGAATGGCCTTTCTGGCTCCCGATTAAGCTGCTTAACGGCCATGATCCCAGAGACTCAGGAGAAAATCTCAGAACCCAGCAGGTTTTGGCAGAAATCCCTCCAGATTTAAGTGTTAAAATTCTGGAATTTCAAAATCGCACGGCCACTACTGCTGCCACGCAACATCATATGTTATTTATAACGAGCAATAGAAAACAAATTGTCTACTATTGCCTTTTCAGCAGATCTAATTGTTGGGGTAAAATCTCAAATAATGGTGGGTCTGGTGTCAAAATATTGAATGTGATCAAAGTAGAGAGTAATATGGAAATCATCTGCCCCACAGGTAGGGGGAGGGTGTGGAATGGGGGTATACTGGGGTTGTTGGGCACCGGTGAAGGTACGGGTGTTTCATTGTATGACCAAGACTTAGACCCGAAAGCTTTGTAACTGCTCTCACAGTGATTCAAGAAATAAAATTATAAAAAATGGAAAAAAAAAGTAAGGTGGAGTTCATGCACAATTCAATCAGCTAATCAGTGGCTGAATAAATAGCATTGTTGTCAATGTGTTTGGCATATCCTACAAAAAAATATAAATTATATGAGGACAGGATAAAGCTCAGTGACAGAGCATATATATGCTTTGTATGTTTGATGCCCTGAGTTAGATCCCTGACACAGAAGGAAGGAAGGAAAGAAGGAAGGAGGGAGGGAGGAAAGGAAAGAGAAAAGGAAGGAGGGAGGTCAGAAAGAGTGCTTTACACAGAAGCTCTCTCACATGTGAGATATAAAGAAACATAGTAGAGGAGTGGCAAATGCCCAAAGACAACAGAAACTGAGAGCTGGTCTTCTGCAGGAAGCTTGCCCAAAAAAGGGGATGGAGGTAGAAGAACAGGACTGAGACACAAAAAAAATGGTGGAGGGAAGTGGACACTGGTGTAAGGTATGGTGCTAGAATGTCATATATGAAACCCTACCATTAAATAGGATTCTAAACCATAGTGTATGAAATAAAACTAACAATAAAAATAACTTATTTTAGAACAACATTTAGTTTACCTAAAAAATTAAAATGGTGCAGTGAATCCCCATTCACCTCACACCCAGATTTTGCCATTGTTAAAATCTTCTATAAGTAGGTCACATTTTTCACAATTAACCAATACTGACAAATTTCTACTAGAGTTTATTTTCAAGTCAGATTTTCTTGGTGTTTTTTGTTTTGTTTTGTTTGCTTCATGTCCTTTTTCTATTCCAGGATCTCATCCAGAACAGAACATTGTGTTTATTCAACATGTCTGCTTAAGGCTCTCCCTGACTGTGACATTTTATCAAACTCTCGTAGTTTTCTGATACTGATAATTTCAAGGTGCTCTGCTGAGATATTTATTAGGTAATTTGTCTCTTCATTGGGACTGCATGATTTTGGGATTTTCTAGTCTTATAATACCAGTTCTTCTAAAAGAAGATGTCACAACATCTCCGCAAGAAAACTATTTAATAAGATCACCAGTCACACTGTGACTGTCCTCCTGTTGTTCATGGATTTTCTCGAGCGGGCCCAGTAACATCTCCATCATGAGACATTGTTGTTAATGTGTTTGACATATCGAATATGTCACAGGTAGCTTGCCAGGCTTTGGCATGCTGGTGAGATACTCTCGGTAGCTTGCCGGGCTCTCCAAGAGGGGGGCAGAGGAATCGAACTCAGGTCAGCCATGTTGGCTGCATGCAAGGCAAACGCCCTACCCACTGTGCTATCACTCCAATCCAAGATCACCAGTATTTTATAGTATATGTAATACAAATATATGATTTCTTACCTGTTATGAACTACAGAGAAACTAAATCATAAACATATGAGCTAGTGCTTATGTGTGGCTTTATTACTCACCAATGCTCCTTGCTTTAAAAATAATAATTATTGAGGTAACATGTCTACAAGAGTGTTAATGTTTATTATTTTTCTTTTTTATTGTTTTTGGGGGGTTTTTTGTCTGTACGTTTGGGAAGCCATACCAGCTGTGCTTACTTCTGGCTCTGCATTCAAGGATTACTCCTGGTGGCATTTTGGGGAAAGTACAGGGTGCCAGGTATCGAACCTAGGTCAGCCATATGCAAGGAAGCACTCTATGGCCCCTAGTACTATCTAGAGGGATCCCATGTTATAAATTAACTATCATACATATGTAGTTTTACTTTGGGGATCTCATTTCAATTCCAGTGGTGTAAGAGTCTATTTCAGCACTACAATCTTTTGATTACTACTGCTGTATAGTACAGGTTAGGGTCATGGAATGCAATTCCACCCATCTTATTTTTTTCTCAGAATTACCTTGACTAATTGGGGAGATTTTTTTTTTAATTTTTTGTCTGTTTGGTTTTTGGGGGATCACACCTGACTGTGCTCAGGTCTTATGCAGTGCAAGGGAGTGAATCTCATCATTAAACTTTTATTTTTAGACAAAAATGGTAGAAGTGGTATTCTTAATTTTGGCATTTTATTAAGTAAATATTGTAGTACTGCAGCCCTGTAGCACTGTCCTCCTGTTGTTCATCAATTTGCTTGAGCGGGCACCAGTAATGCCTCCATTGTGAGACTTGTTGTTACTGTTTTTTTGGCATATTGAATATGCCTCGGAGAGCTTGCCAGACTCTTTCACGCGCGCGGGATATTCTCAGTAGCTTGCCAAGCTCTCCAAGAGGGGCGGAGGAATTGAACCCGGGTCGGCCGTGTGCAAGGCAAATGACCTACCCGATTAAGTCAATATTAATATAATAAATTATGTTTAATAATAAGAGTGGAAACTATACAACAAGTAAATGGGAATTCATACTTTTGTGTGTACTTAATTTTTTTTAACTAGACATTAAAAAAAGGTAACTGCAGGGGCTATGGTGCCGCCATCAGGTCAATCTGTACCTGTGAGGCGAGTGCATCAGCAGCCTGATGGCAACGTCAGACTTTCGGATACCCCAAAATTGCTGCTGTGCCTTTGGCCAGACTCCAAAAACTTGGGGCAAAATTTACAAGAAAGTAAACGGCCAAAAGTTAGGTATGTGGGAGACACACCCACAAACCACCTCCGGCTCAGCTATATAATTGGAGGCATGGCCTCTCTGGTTCCTGATCGAACTGCTCAATGGCCATGATCCCAGAGTCTCAGACACAAATCTCGGAACCCAAAGGCTTTTGGCAGAAATGCGTCCTGTTCCTGCAGTAGGTTACTGGCACTGGGTCACTCCAGGTGGGAATAGGTTTTGTGCCTTGGCCTGTTGCCCCTGGCGGTCTGGTGACCACCATCCTCCAGAGACCACTGGACAGTCAGTTTTGGGCCTGCAGTGACTAGACACATGGGGCCTCACCACATGGGGGTGGAGCCCATCCCAGTGAGACCCCAAGTCGCTGCCTACAAACGGCCTCACTGGCTCCTGATCAAGCTGATTGATAGCCATGATAAAGGAGACTCAGAAACAAATCTTGAAACCCAGAGTCTTTTGGCAGAAATGCATCTGGACTGCATACAAGGTGGTCACCAGCTCAGAGCTTATTGGAAAGCCAGGTATAGGCTGGTGGTGATGGGGCAACTGCGTTCTCATGGGAAGGGGGGCGATACCGGCTCGTCCTTCACGCCACACCGAGGTCACGAGTTACCCCCCCACAAGCGGCTCTCTGGCATGGCCATGGCTCCAGAGGCAAAAGGACTTAATCCAGAACCCAGCAGCTTGCAGCAGAAAAGTGAATAGACCATGTGTTAAACTACGGCACCATGCCTCCCCCAGGAGGGAAAGGGTGCAGCTCCCTTCCGCCTTTGTCCCCCCTGGCAGCAAAGTGGCCGCTACCTCAGAGTTTATTGGAAAGCCAGGTATGAGCCAGCGGTGATGGGGCAACTGCAGTCTTATGGGAAGGAGGGTGGTACCAGCTTGTCCTTCATGCCCTACCGAGGTCACGAGTTACCCCCCACAAGCAGCTCTCCGGCATGGCCATAACACCAGACACACAGAAACCAATCTCGTAATTATCTGGCTCTTTGCAGAAATCCAAAATCGTGGCTGCGTGACATTATATGATTCTCATAACCAGCTATAGAAAACAAAGTATTTCACAATGCCTTTTCAGCAATTCTGGTTATTTGGGGGGAATTCTAAACAATAATGGTGCATCTTTTGTCGAAATAATGAATGTAATCAATGTAGAGAAGAGTTAAGTAGAAATCATCTGCCTCACAGGCATTGGGAGGGGTCGGAGGGGGTGTATACTGGGGTTCTTGGTGGTGAAAAATGAGTATTGGTGAAGGGAAAGGTGTTTGATCATTGTATGACTGAGACTTAAACCTGAAAGCTTAGTAACTTTTCCCACAGTGATTCAACAAATAAATATAAAAAGAAAAAAAATTAAGGTGGAGTTCATGCCCAATTCA